CAATATGGTTCATGGGGTCACGAAGAGTCGGACACGACTTAACGACTAAACAACAAAACATTGGATTGAAAGTTTATCTTGTACTCTTTATGTTTCATTGAAATTTTGTATTTTTTCCAACTGCATCATTATTAAATGGCTTCATAATCTCAGGACTGTTTCCTTTTTAATATTTTCCTTTCTTCTTTATTCTTTAATATTGCTGTTTAACATTTCCCAGTTATTTATTGATCTTTAGAAATGAAAACTCCTTCAGAAAATATAATACTTATTGATGAAGACACATATGCAAAAAATTTTAGAATAGTTTTTATTAAAAAGTTTTACATATATAATAAGTACATTAAAAGAAAAAGATATAGTAAATGTGAAAGAGAAAAGAAAGGAAAAAAGACAAAGAAAAAAGGAGATAGCAAAAGAAAAAATAGATGAACAGAAAACATGAAAAGAAATATAATGAAATGGTTTCCGATCTTCTCGGCAGTTATACATACAATTATAATTACACCTCTCTCTCTAAGATTATATCATAATTCCCTTCCTTCTATAATCTATTCTTTCTAATCATCAAAACCATAAGTCACAAAATTATTTTCTTTTTTACACAAAAAGTCTATAAGAGGTTTCAGTCATTGATGAATGTCAATAATGACCTTTCTCTAATTAAACAAGTCAGTTTGGCCATCTCAGCAAGTTCTGTCAGTTTCACCAACCATTCCTCCTTGGTGGGTAGCACTGAATCTTTCCATCTTTGTACATATAATAGTCTCGCTGCAGTAATCATATATTGAAATAATCTTCCATGACCCTTTTCTAATTGTGTATCCATCAGTCCTAAAAGGAAAAGTTCAGGCTTCGTTTGAATATTGATCTTTAAAATCCTCTGTATAAATGTGTATTTGAATCCAGTATTTTTTTTTAGCAATTTTTACATGTCCACCAAGCCATAGATAAAGTCACACAGTCTGGCTCAAATTATCCTTTTCTTCTTCTTATGTAGAATCCACCAATTATCTACTTTCCTTAACAATAAACAGTCAACATTCCCACAAAGGTCCGGTCTGTTTGTCTAGTTAATTTTACTATTTTCAAAGGCACTTTCATCAAAGAAAAAAATTATTATTCTGTTTTCTAAAATTACAGTCCCCTTTATCCATTTAAAATTTTCTTAAATCACAATCCTGTTAAGTTTTTTGGTTTTAAGTCAAAATCCTTTAAGAGAGCTTTTTTTTTTCTCTTCTTAATTCCAAAAAGGAGACTCACCGAGTGTCTTTATTCTTTCCTGCTGGTCAAGATTTCTCTTAAGTTATAATTTAAATATATCCAAAAAGTGAGGCTTTTGTGTCAAGTGTCCATGGCTGCACAGCAGTTTTGAGTGTGATGGTAATCTCTTGGTTCCCAAGCTGCTCAACCCACAATCAGTCACAAGAAACTCAATTCCTGCGGTCTCCTTGTGAGAAGGAGCTATCCAGAGCACAAGCGGGTGATCTTTTGATCTCTTCTTCTCCTGAGAGAATTTCATCAGCCAGAACTCGCTGCCTGACTGCCAATCCTCGCTGCGGTGCTATCCCTGCTCACAGAAATGTTTGCAAGGACATCTAACCCATCACAGGTTCTCACCTGGAAACCTTCAAAAATTAATACTATAAGTCAGAGGATATCAAGTGTGGCCAGATAAATAATTATTTTCACAATTTTTAAAATTCTGGTTTTATATCCATTTCTGAGTTTTGATATTTGGTGGTATTTACACTGAAAACGTAATGTTAAGGCATCTGAGTCATCAAGAGTACAGTTGTTCATTAACGTGACTTCAGTATTTAAGATTCTGTTGCTTCACTTCTGTAATAAGTCATTCTTTCTATAAATCCTGCCTCAGTCCTCAAAAGGAAATGACCTTTGTTGCATTGCTGGAGTTCTCTGAGCCTCCTTTCTGGACTGGTGACTTTTTAGCCCATTAACTTAACACATCCCCCTACTCTGCATCACCCAGCAGTGAACCAACCTACGCAAACAAAAGCCACCTCCTAAATAACCAAATAAATAAAAACCAACTACAATTCAACAATCACAAGAAAAGAACAACACCTTCCCACTGAGCCATTCCATTATCACTACCAACACCACTGATCACACAGTAATCAATTCACAGATAAGAGAGAACCACCTTACCAACAACTGAATACTCTCCCAACTGATTTCTTGCAAGACAACATCTATCCACAGGACTGTCCCATCCAAGCTTGCACAAAGCAGGCAAAATAGAAAGATAACCCCTGTCAACCAAGTCATGCACTGATATTACCTAACAGGGCAACAAAAGACCTGCAGTCCAAAATGGTTAAATTGATAATATAGTTTAGTGCTGTTTGTTTAATATTACTTGTGTTGCTTCTAATTGTATTTTGTTCTAGTTTGATTTGTCTAAATCTGGATAGTGGTACTGAATGTTCTTAATAGAATAAGAAAATAAGGATAATTATTGTGCTTATTCACAGATCATTACTGTTTTTTCGACCAGTAATTGATGAAAATGAAACTTCTGGAGAATATGAATCCAGTGAAGGAGTTAGCTTTGATGAAATGGTGAAGAATTTCGACAAATTGTTACAGAAGAAATGCCGGTCTTTAAAATCACCTAATCACCCACTTATTATCAACATTGTTCCAATGCAAGATACTTTGATATCTTCAACATGTACAGATGATCAATGGGATTTACCATATGTTGTTCATTTGTGGCCTTCTGTTATTCTCCGCAATCTTCTTCCTTATCAGATTGCATATTCTTTAGAGGTAGTATTTTTTTTTTCTTAAATCCACTTTCCCTTAGTAAGGATCTTATAGTCTAGAACATATCCTCAGTGTTACTCAATAAATGACACCAAAATCCCTCAAAATATGCTTGGCTGTGTTCAGAATTCAGTTGTTGTCATATGTGAATATTAAATACATATGGAAGAAATGCTCTTGAGTTTCTGTGTTTTTCAGTTAGTCTTGCTGATTAAACAGTTTTAATCTTATATTTAGTAATTGTTAGCTGTTCTGCTATTTGACGAGGTTTTTTTTTAGATCACAAGGATAAATATATGGTATCTTTCTCAATTGTAATTATATGTTAGAAATAAGTTGCCCTGATATAATAAAAGTGCAAGTAGGTAAATACTTAGTCAGCTTGGTAGGGTTTGAAAGAATTCTACATGCTGCCCAATTAAATATGTAGCTTTATTTCAAAAGCTTCCAAAGTTATTTTCCAAAGTAATTTCTTTTCATTATGTAAAAGTGTGCAAACTTCAAGTTTGAAATGCTTTCATCTTGTAACTTCCTGTTTAACCTTAGAAAAGCTATTTTGAGTTCAAAAAGGGCTATTCTGACATCAGCAGAAGTGTCTCAGTGCATTTCTGACATTTCTGGAAGTAACTTCAGTTTGGAATGCTCCTAGTAAAGTAAGAACGGCAATATAACCCTTCCAGTAGGATCAGAGCAGCCTGTTTCAAATTTGAAACAGTGTTTTGAAATCAAAATGTTTCTAATTCAAAGCATTTCAAATCTTCTACAAGCATAGAATTGCAAAAATAATTTAGAGGGCAGCAACAAGCTAGAGTTGATATCGAAGAAACCCATATAATATGTGGGAAAATACGTGTTTTTCAATAATAGAATTGTTTACAATTTCCCATTTATTTTATATTTATTATTTATTAACAGAATTGCCTAAAAAATAACAGAAGGGTAATTATTTCAGATGTCATATTGCAATGCAAACAGGTTTCTATTTCATACTGTGAAATTGTTAATGAATTAATTAGTGTATTGATTATATGTTTTGGAACTTTTTCCATAGGGATATAGTACCACATACAATACTCTAGAAGATGGATGTTCTGCTCAGATTCATAATGCGCTACTGGATCAGAGCAAGCTGGAATTACATTTACTTAATTATCTTGATAAAGATTGGACTACTGAGTACTACATCCAATCAAATCAGCAAGAAATTAGTTTCATCACATTTTCATGCATTAGTGACCTGGATAGGTCAGATTTGGATATAGCTATGCACGTAACGTATGCCACTGGACAAGTGATTATAGCAATTCACAGTCCCTATTGGATGGTGAATAAGACTGGTCGAATGTTGCAGTACAAAGCCGATGGTATTCACCGCAAACATCCACCTGACTACAAGTTGCCACTTCTCTTTTCTTTCCAACCTAAACACTTTTACCATGATAATAAGGTATTGATTTCAGTCTCATAAAATCAAGTTTATTTCTTATCATACTTAGTTTTTCAGTGCTTTGAATCTTGGATCTACAAAAAATAATATATGCTACAAGCCGGTATTAATGATCATTATATCCTAATAAATTGTTATGTTTAAGACTCAGGAACAAGTTTTTTTTTTTTTTAAACATGGCACTGAAAAAATATGGCTAATAAAGAGCATCAATAAGTAATGCATATTATCGCTATTGTGTAATACTTCAAGTAGAAAAACATTTATTGTGCATTATATGTTATGTAACTTTGAAACTTTCATGGAACTGTTATTCTATAGGATAGACAGTTATCATAGTCATTATTGCCATTTTTAAACCGCCAAAAGAGGGAGTCTTCAGGGATCCTAAAATTTGCTGGAGTATAAGAAAAGAAGACAAAGGAACAGTCCCCTTGCTCTTGAAATAGCCTAATAAAGACGGAAAGTATTCAGCACCCAAAAAGTGTTGTTATAGCTAGCAGATGAATTGGAGTATGCTCAAAGAATGCATGGCTGGTTAGCTAAAATGTGGAAATGAAGCACTTCAGTCATACAGCATTTTACAGATTTCCTTTTTTTAAGTAAAAATACTAACCATTTTTCTATTTTTCTTTAATTCTGTTCATAATAAAGGTTGAATAACAAGTTTTCTCTGTATAGGTTCAACTCATGGTGACAGACAGTGAACTTTCTGATCATTTTTCCTTGGATACAGTTGGGAGTCATGGCTTTGTAAAGTGTAAGAGCCCCAAAAAGGAATACCGAGTAAGCTGATTTATCATACCTTTCTTGCAGCTATAGTTCTCTGCATGTCTACTTTAATTTAACAAGGCTGACTTCCAAATAAGTTTCCAGAGCATTCCAGTTTTTGACTGTATTCAGACCAGCCCACCCCCTGCATTTCATTTCAGTTTTGTTCTTCATTATTTCAAAATTTCAAACAAATGGCTTCAGATTGGAAATAAAAAAAGAACATCCTTTAAAGCTGATTGATAGAAATTACTGTTTTAATTACTATCCAAACAATTGTAGGCATACTTTGAAAAAAGATTGTAGAAAATTACTCCTGTAACTCTCAAAAAATACTGGATGGGCTTAGCACTTGCTTCACTTCAGTTCCTAGGACAAGTGCACAAGTCACTTAACTCTTAGTCTAGACCTGGTCACAAAATTTAATAGCAATTAAAATTATTATTTCAAAACAGCTTTTAGAAATGTCAGCAAACTTATTGCTGATCACTATCCTGCTCCTATGTGGAGAAAATTTAGATCAACCCCATTGCTAAAGGTAAGCATCACAGCTTAGCATATTTTACATGCTGAAGATATCAGATTTAATTCATACAGTATACAGATAGGGTTGAGCTTAAGCAAAATGTGCCTGAATCTAGAGAAAGCTGTTGCAAGAAAAAGTATATGAACCTTTTGGAATTTCATGGTGTTCTGCATTAATTTGTCATAAAATGTGATC